CATAAGTTACCTAATATCAACTTTCATCCTACATTACAACAAAGACTTCAAATCTTCCATGCAGATATAAGACTAACGACCCTAACGGCTTAAGAATATACAAAAATTATCTTTAAAATTTGCGTAAATCCTTCAATGAGACATTAATAAACACCTTTTTATTTTCGGTCACCTGAGTCAGGTGACCTATTGCTATCTGTTTTCGTCCGTCGTCGTGCGTGTGTGCGTCGTGCGGGTGTGCGGCGTGCGTAAACTTTTCACATTTTCGACTTCTTCTCAAGAACCACTGGGCCAATTTCCACCAAACTTGCCACAAAGTATCCTTGGGTTAAGATGATTCAAGTTTGATCAAATGAAGGGTCAATGCCATCTTCCAAGGGGAGATAATTAAGAATTAATGAAAAATTAATTGCATCTTTAAAAATCTTCTTCTCAAGAACCACTGTATCAGGTAAGATGAAGCTTATATGGAAACATCCTCAGGTAGTGTAGACTCAAGTTTGTTAAAATCATAACCCCCAGGGGAAGGGTGGGGCCACAATGGAGTTTTACATAAAAATATATAGGAAAAATCTTTAAAAATCTTCTTCTCAAGAACAGCAAAGCCATGATGAGTCATATTTATATGGTAGCATCCTGATGTAGTGTAGATTCAAGTTTGTTCAAATCATGACCACCGGGATAGAGTGCGGCCACAATGGACGATCAAAGTTTTACACAGAAATTTATAGGAAAAAATCTTTAAAGGCAGAGATTTTAAGCACCGCCTTCAAAAATACCTGGTCTGTGTACCCCTGTCAATCAAGTACGTTAAGGTACATCATTGGGTGCTAGAACTTGATTGACATTTACTTACTAGTCCCTGTGTATACCCTGTACACCTTGTTTGACACTCCTGGTGTTCATCAAATTAACTTTTGATTCTTTGATATTTACCACACATGGTATAAACAATGGAGAAGCTGTATTACTATGGAATTTTTAGCTTGATAATATATATACATACACACCTTTAATATTTGAAATAATTATGATTTTCTTTACGATAATATATATCAAAATTTGGTATAACTTTTTTTTTCATAGCTCAACAAATACTTTGAATAATAATATTTTTTAATGGGCGGGGATACATTGACACATATTCAATTACAAATTAATAAAAATTATTGAGATTAAAATTTATTTACAACTTTTTATTTCTATTTTAAAATCATCTCAAAATCCCAACACAGGTAAAGTTTGACTTCTTGGGTACTCTGCTGTGTATTAAATCACTTCCTGTGTATAGGGATTAGGAGACAAACGACCGCAGGTAGATTGCTAGCCCTCAGGGCATTCACACCTGTACAAAATAAGCCCCTCCCTCACCTGGAATTTACCACCCGGTAAAAAATCTCTGCCTTTAAACATCTTCTTCTCAGGAATAGGGAAGCCCTGATTGGTCATATTTATATGGAAGCATTCTCAGGTAGTGTAGATTCAAATTTGTTAAAATCACGACCCCCGGGAATAGGATAGGGCCACAATAGGAGATCGAAGTTTACATAGAAATATATAGGAAAAATCTTTAAAAATCTTCTTCTCAAGAACAGCAAAGCCATGATGAGTCATATTTATATCGAAGCATCCTCAGGTAGTGTAGATTCAAGTTTGTTCAATCATGACCCCCAGGGGTAGGGCGGGGCCAAAATAGATGATCAAAGTTTTACATGAAAATACATTGGAAAAATCTTCTTCTCCAGAACAACTGGGCCAAGATAGATGAAATGTGGAAACATCTTCAGGTAGAGTAGATTCAAGTTTGTTTAAATCATGATCCCAAGGGGTAGAAGAGCTACAATGGACAATGAAAGTTTTACATTGGGATATGTAGGAAAAATCTTTGAAAAAATTCTTTTCTCAAGAACAGCAAAGCCATGATTGGTTATATATACATGGAAACATCCTCAGATAGTATAGATTCAAGTTTGTTCAAATCATGACTCTGGGGATAGGGTGGGGCCACATTGGACGATCAAAAATTTACAAAAGCTTCTTTTATCAGTTTATTTTATACTCTATGGATCTTCTATGGATTGTTTTTATAGGACCTTAGGCCTCTTGTGTAATTTTCCCGCAATAAATTCTCTAACTTTTAAATATTTTAGCTCGTTTCCAAAAAAAGTTTTTTTTAAATAATAAAATTCTCTTCATATTGACCTTGCCATCACCACTCCTTCATCATAGATTTTTTGTATGGCCTTGCGACCATCTCTACTCCGTCATCACAGATTTATTGTATGGCAGTGTCACCATCTCTACTCCATCATCACAGGTTTATTGTATAGCAGTGTCACCATCTCTACTCCATCATCACAGGTTTATTGTGTAGCACTGTCACCATCTCTACTCCATCATCACAGGTTTATTGTATGACACTGTTACCATCTCTACTCCTCCATCACAGGTTAATTGTATATGACACTGTCACCATCTCTACTCAGTCATCATAGTTTATTGTATGGCACTGTCATCATCTCTACTCCATCATCACAGGTTTATTGTATGACACTGTCACCATCTCTAATCCTTCATCACAGGTTTATTGTATGGCAATATCACTATCTCTACTCTTTCATACATTGTTTTTTGTATGGCACTACCACCACCTCTAAACCTTTATCACAAGTTTTTGTATGGCACTATCACCATCTCTACTCCTTCATCACAGGTTTATTGTATGGCACTGTCTACTCCTTCAACACAGGTTTATCGTATGGCACTGTCACCATCTTTACTCCTTCATCACAGGTTATTGTATGACACTGTCGCCATCTCTACTCCTTTATCAAAGGTTTATTGTTTGGCACTACCACCATCTCTACTCCTTCATCAAACGTTTATTATATAGCACTATCACTATCTCTACACCTTCATCAAAGGTTTATTGTAGGACACTGCCACCTTCTCTACTCCTTCATCACTATTTTTTTGCAAGACACTGTCACCATCTCTACTCCTTCATCACAGGTTTATTGTATGGCACTACCGCCATCACTGCCATCATCATAGTTTTACTTTATGGGAGACCGTTCGCTATCTCAACACCCCCATCAGAGTTTAACTGCATAGCACAATCTCAACTGTCTTCATCACATTCTTATTGGATAGAAATGTCGCCATCCCAACATGTCTCATTACAATTTCAATGCATTGCACTGTCGCTATCTAAACCTCCCTCTTCACAATTTTACTGCATAGCACTGTCGACCTGTTTTTATATTCTTATTAAGAACCCTCTATACACTGCACACTAAAGAGTTCTGATTTAGTGGCATTTTTAGGCAGATAGAGTGATCTGCCCTTTGATCAAGAATAAAATAAATTGAAATGTACAGTTGATTACTTAATTCGTGATCAAATCAAGGATTCATAACACTTTAATAGGCCAAGATGAATAGATAGAACACTTCATTTGCAGGTATTTTTCCCACTAAGTAAACATCAGTGATTTATGTTCATCAGTACTTCATTGTCCTTGAACATTTTTCCTGGGGGGTAAAGGCAAGGCACCCTATGTTGAAAATGTGATAGATAAGCTCAATACTTACACCTTTACACACTATAATTTTCTCAATGTCCAAAACATATTTTCCTCTACTGTATAGGGTCCTTAAGCAGAATTTATTCAAAAATCTATTTGAGAGAAAAACTGTTCCCGTGACCTTTGATTATTGGCGACGTTTTACCATTTTTCATTCATATATCGTTCTAATACATGTAAAAGACTAAAGACCCTAGCTAATGATAAAATTTCAGAGAGAATAAAACAGATGCAAAGAAGTGATTTTGAAAAATTTCTTAAGCAAAAACAATAAGCATAAAACTTTGATGAGACAATAAACACCTTTGTTATGTTCAGTTTTTCTGCATGACACTGTCGCTTTCTCGACACTCTTCATCACAGTTTTATTGCACGGCAATGCCGCCATGTCAACACTCCTCATCACAGATTTCCTATCGTCATCTCAAAACCCCTCATCATAGTTTTATAGCATGAACGCCATCTCAACACCCTTAATCAATGTTTTACTACACTGTCTCCATCTCGCCAACCCCAATCATAGTTTTACTGTTGCCATTTCAACACCCCTTGTAACAGATTTATCTTTGCCCCCCCCCCCCTATCTACTGCTGATATCTCAACCTCCTGACCAAAATGGCATTTTAACCCCCCTCAAAAGAGTTTTACTGCATTGCATTTTCCTTCTTTTATTTACATTTCTACCTTTTCATTTCCTATGAAATTAAATCTCTGCACCATTCAATCTATTTCTTAATGATAAATGTATTTATAAAAAAGTGTTGAAACTGTTTTACCTGAAGAGAAAAATATAAAACAAATCTTTTAAATAGCGCTTATAATAAAAAGATTCACCTGAGTGACGGATTTTGTCCCTGTCTTCTTAAATTGTTTATCATGATGGTAAAAAATGAAATAATTTGCTTTGTTTACAACTTTCTTTACTGAACATTTTTTATATTAAAAAGTTAATTGTTTGCTTCATAAAAGATGTCAATTGTTTGCGTCGTAAAAAATAGAACCGAATGAATAGAACCGAAAAGATAGCTTCTTTTAATAAAACCGTATGTAAAAGTGATGACAATTACGCATGTTCATTCAATATCGCATACATTTTTCTGTTAAAGATCTGTTGATAAACTCAGCTGATATATTCGCGTTTGATCTAAATTATCAAAATGTTCTAGATCCATTGATGTTTTTCTTTGTTGAAATCACTTGATACAATGATCCCAGATTGTAATAATGTTCTTCAAGAAAATCGTCAATTTGTTCCTATGATTGATGGCACTAAATGCGCGATAAAATGGAATATTCAAACTAATTTAAACGCTAAACCCATTGGTACACTTCAAACACGATCGATGGATAATGAAATTCGCGAACTGGTGACGTATAAGTTTCCGGATTGTCGTACTAAACTGTGGGAGTGATACTGAAGAAAAATAACATATGTGCGCGTGAGAACAGGGTGTTGCCTATGTATATAATCGACCAGTAGTCAAAAAGAAAAGTAATTAGAGTATCTGGATTAAAAGGTAAGTTTGTGTTTCATTTCAATATGAATTTCAAATTTACTTACTTTTAAAATTACTACGAAAAATGTATTTTTCTTGAAATTCAAAAGTTTACGGATTTATTAAATCAAAGCATAATGCATAAAAAAAACAGTAACAGATTATTCAAAATGTAAGAAATTTTATTTGTATAATTTTTGAAAAATATTTCATATATACAAGAGAAAAAAAATCAAATTTAAGAGAAACTCAGTCTTTAAAATGATTAACTTTAAATTTATTTTTTTTTTAAATTTCAAATTAAATTATTATTTTAAGTGTACACATGACTATCGGTGGAAAAGTATAGTTTTTCCATTATTACCTTCTTTTCATTACATCATGATTTTGCACAAAATAGTAACCTGAAGGTTATATCAATATTTTCATGTTTGCCAATTTTAAAAAGTGCAGAATTAGACATATTGCAGACATTATATTCAGATTGTATTTAATGCTTGAGCGGAAAGTAAGAGCTAGAAAATGCCTATTTAAATGTTAATTTTCTATTTTACACTATTCTGCTTTGTAATTTGATACTAAAAAGTTTGAGGAATGACGACAAACTAACATCAATTCTCTCTCTTTCCTAACTTTGTTGTGTGATTAATCTTTACCTCTGATTATACAGCTTTTGATGATATCTGGTGAATTTTGCAATACTTTGAAAAACAGAAATAGATCTGTTAAAGATTAGCGTCTGTGCTTAAATGCAGTAATAATATAATTCTTCACTTAGCATCTTATATTTGGGAAGGGCTTAATTCTAAAAGAACGAAAAACACAAATATTGCAATTATTCAAATTTCCCATGACGTTTTGCTGGTGATCAACATTTTGGGATACTAAACAAACGCAATATCGTCCGTTTGTGCTATTGGTCCGCTCTCCATCAACGGTTATTAAATAAGTTTCTGATTTTATGCCCATTTTTGACACAGCACTGCTGTTTCAATCGGAAGAGGCCATATGAAGTGATACTCAGGATTACGATTAATCGTCCGTAGCCTAAAAAAACATGACAGAAATTTAAGATTGCATCTGAAATCTGTTTCGGTGTCGACTTTAGATATCTCTATTTGGAAATACAATCTAATATAGAAAAATAGAGATTTGGCTCGTAAAAGGTTCCGCTTAACTTCTCTCGGGCTGGACTTTAACACAACTTTCTTTTGATTACTATAGTGTGTTTTTTTTTAAATTCAGTTTTAGTTTTCAGGATACCTCTACATATACTTTTTGTCTTTTGGTCCTTTTAAATAGGTTACTTGTCTTTTAAGATAAAAACTTCAAACATTATTTTGTATATATGGTATACATGTGTATGTTCATTGAAGTATTTTCTCAGTTCCGTGTGTTATGACATGCAGTGTCCCTAGGCTACTCCTATAGGACTGTCCGACCTCGATCCCCTCCATGCGTATACTTTGCAGAGACTTTTCACACAACTCTTCCATTAAGAGAAATACTAATATTCAAAAGATTTATTTAATTCACAAAAACTTTGTCCTGTCAAGAATACATAAAGAAGGTAGGCATTTGAAACATTTTAGATAAAATAAAAATTTCGTATACCCAGAACTGGAAGCCAGTATTGTATGCAGAACGGAGTCTTCAGTGCTTTTTCAGCAGTAAGATTCCAATCTATTTTTACATGTAAATCTGAATTAAAAAAAAAAACTGAGGACGCTAAGACTGCATACGGTTGCAAATGATATTCAATTTGAAAACCTTTAAAATGAACTTAATTTCTTCTTAGTCTGCCTCATGCACAGATAAATATTTTTTTTATACAGTCTTCAAATGCAAAACTTCTAATTCACTTACATATTATAAGTTTCTCTTTTCCTTATTTCTTTATTGTTTTGCTTTTAAGTATTTTTTAAAAAAATACTTTATGCTAGTGTTATATGCAAAATATAGAAAACACGTTCTTTCGCATGCAGTAAGAATGTTGAAGATAAAAGAAAAAAAATCTATAATAAGTACATGCGAAATATTTTTCAAATATGTGAAGATTTGTATAAAATCATCGGGAATCAATCGTAGTTAATAACAACAACACGGAAAAACGAACTTTTTTGCAATGTGAGCTTAAGAATGATAATGGTTGTAGTAGAAATTAAAAAAAAAAACAAAACTTTTTTCTTTTTGGTTAGATTCCAAAATAAAATTAATTAAAGTCGTTTATTTCATGTTCGAATAATTAGTATTGTAGGATTAAATAGTTCTCCCCTCCTTTAACTCAACGCCACAAAGGAGATAAACATACATATAAATAATGCCACTACTTAATACTAGTGATTTTTCTTACAAGGTAAATTCAGATTGCTTATAATTTCATGTACAATTAAAAATACATTGTTTCTAGTTTATTTATACATATTTTTGTTCCCTTTTCTTCATTTTTAATGTCATTTAAAATATAAACTAAACAGATTGTAGTGTAAACGTAACTTTTCAAATTATAGAAAAATACAGTAGGCATGGTCGAAGATTAAAGAAAAAAACTACATGCGAAATATGTTTGAATGCAGAAGTATCATACTCAATAGCAACAATAGGCAAAACAAAAACTTTGCAATATAAGCTTTGAAAATTGTATTCCAGTTTTTTCCTCTGTAAAATACTGTTGGTTCCTAATCGTTTTCTTTCATCAATGAACCAGAAAACCAAGTTTGATATTCGTGAAAAAAGAACAAAGTCTCCAAACTCCCCCGGTGAAATAAATCCATTGTTTAAATCGATTATCGTAACAATTACCTTGTAATTGAGTTTGTTTAAGAGATTAATCTAGCTTCGTGGGGACAATTAATATTAGGATAATTTCTTCTCTACCAATGTGTTCCTCTTCGTTCCTCCACCCTGCAGTTATTTGAACAGGGTGCAAGGGCAGAAGATTGGACGTGGACAAATTGTTTGTATCATTACCTGCCAGTATGATGGAGGACGCATGATTTCTTCTATACAATCCCGATTCCTTTTTTTTTTTTGGCTTATTTTTTGTGTTATATCGCTCAATTGTTTGTCTTTCGGTTTTGAGCAAGCACATTTATGTGGTTTGTTACTCATTTCAGAAGATTATAATGAGCAACTCTCTCTCCAATCTTTTAGAATTGAAAGTCAAATTCATAAGGACAGATTTGCTTCGTCTTAAACTTCATGCTGGCGTTGTCTCTAATTTTGCAGAGTTTATTTATGGTATGTTAACGTTTTGGCACAAGAAAAATTCCATGTCAAAGTCCGGGTCCTTTTGGAAATGTATCCTGAAATTATAAGACCTTCAAAGAGCATAGAAAGAGACTAATTTCTCGCCAATGAGGATGTAACCGTATATTTGTCCTGAAGATCACAAAAGGCCACCATACATTATAGTTATTCTGGGTTTCAAAGACCTGAAATCAATAGCTTTCTTAAGTTTCATTTGTGACAAACAGAACTTTAATTTCACAAAAGCTCTTGATATTCGCAAAGGATTCAAAGAATGTTCAGATCGATTAGAAGTAAATTACAAGAGTTATTGGTATAAACGATAGAGAAAATAATTTACTGCGAAATAAACTCCCCAAAAAGAGAGAATTATGCACAGTTAAATATATGTTTATCATTGAGATACATTTAGAATGTAAGTACATAGAAATACAAGAAAAAATACACACAGTGTCTATATTCTATTCATCGTGATATTTAATTCAACTGTTATAATTGATTGTTTGGTCGACCAAGCTGTTGGATGCCTATATTATTGAAATTCGAAGAAAAATCGGTGTCGGCAACATTAAGACATGAAGACTAATTGATCGGACACAATGGAGTGACGGCCATAATGAAAGTGTTTGGTGATTACATCCTCTAAAGCGATTTTCCTTAGATGTAATTAATAAAGGAGATCATTGAAGTAATGTGATCTATGGCTAAATGGAATTTAAATTAAAAAACCACAACAACAACCAATAATAATATTAATAATTTTTAACAAAGCAGTTTTAACGATAACCAGGAAGAAAAGTAATTTCTTTTCGAGTGATAACCTGCAAAAATGTAAATTCAGTAAAGTGCAATTCATTTTCTGGTTGTATACATATTTGCTTACATTGAGAATTCGCAGAAATGTTCCTTTTATAAATATTCAATTGATAGAATTTGGTTGTTATCTAAGAAAATAAATTCCTGTACATTTAAAAAAAAATGGTTAGCTAAGATAAAATTATCTTCATATTTCATAGCAATTAAAACTGAAGAACACAGCAAAGCAAATAAATAAAACCAACAAAAATTGTATATCATGTCGACGTTGAAAAAAAAATGCAGTTCTGACAACATTGAGAATTTTATGTGTAACCTTGGCAAGTATATTTATTATGGCTTGAGCTTGTTACTAATTTAAAAAAGAAAAGATAAAAATATATTTATGTAGGTACAAATGTTCTGTAAAATGATTCACATTTGTACTACATTTCCTAAGTATACCATATTCTATGGTATATGTGGTAGGTATGTTTCTTCCAATTTTGTATGAGACAGGATGAAACAGGTATTTAAATATTCTATCATTTTTCATAATTTTGCAATCTTGACGATCATTCATTAAATAAAGCATTGCTTTCTGACAGGGAAGGAGATATTAAACGTGTACTTAATTATTAAAATTGTTCCATTGACAGTTTGATTATTAATGTAATACTTAAGTATCCAACTTGAGCACACTTCCTATATAAATTATCAATGACGTACCTGTTTTGGGCTTCAATTCTGTTTGTAAAAATCTTATTTGTGGAATGAATTTTGAAACCTGATGACGTTTAAGCTGCTCGGTGCCCAGAAAAGAGATCGTTAATCAGTGCGACACTGGGTACAATGATATCGTCCGGAACAAAGAGGATCTCCAAGGACAAGAACAAAGCACGATGATGCGATAGCCCCATCAAATAAATGATGATCTATATGATCAAATGGCCCCATTCAGTTCAGTTTTAATTACA